GGTGACAACTGTGAATGTGTCAGGATAATATCCCCGTACAAATGTGTCATTATGTCCCCCCGTATACAACGTTACTATAATATCCCTTTATACAGTGCTGGCACCTACTCTGTCAGCCGTCGTCCTCATCCTTTGCTCCGTGTCAGGTGAATTGCGAGCTCCTCCCCTGCGAATGATTTCCGGTCTCCTCACAGGTCGGCTGCACGTGACTGGACGCGGCAATAAAGAGCCCACCTGTGCGGAGACCCAGAATGCATTGCGGCTCTCCCGGAGGGGAGGAGTCAGAGGGGGCGGGGTATGTACGCAGTCATCGATATGGAGGGAGCGGCCAATACAGACCTCAAACTCTCCCCTCCCGTCTACTCATTGATCCGAATCCTTCTCATATACATTGTTTACAAACATTGCCCCTGTTTCCGGTTTTGGTTTATTTCCGGCAAATTGTTTATTTTTCTGCTCAGAACCGGAAATGATTTGTTGTCAGATTTCCTGATGTGTGTAAACTCCAGATGTATACATTTATTGATTGATAGATCGATATATTTATTGATCAATATATTTATTGATTGATAGATTTATTGATTGACAGATTTATTGATTGATAGACTGATTGATTGATAGATTTATATATATATAGTGATCCAATTATATGAATTACAGGAAGTGACATCATCAATGAACAATGTAGCATCAGAACTTCCTCCGGGTCAGGAGCGCTGAGCCTCATTCTGGGCCCCCGGGAGGAAGATACGGATGGACATGACGGACGGGCTGGTCCCTGACGTCTCCCGGCGTTGTATATCCGGACCCGGTATTGGGAGATTTGGGGGGTACGTTGTTATTTGGGGCGTGATGAAGGGATTTCTCCATATTCTTCTTTTTGTGTCACATATACACATTCATAGCTCGGCCACTAGAGGCGCTCACACTGCTGCGATAAGATGTCAGTCACCCGGGGAGTGCATTGATCTCAGCGGCTCCGACGACTCCTAGACCAGCATGGGGTAGGAAGCAGAGGATGAAGATGTAATGAGAAAAT